GCTAATATAAACCTAGTATAAGGTTTATCCCTTAGGAATTCCTCTTATACTAATACTATAGGAGCTTAGCTTATTATACGTTTATAACTCTTATTTAGAGGTTACCTTAGACTATAGGTAATATTATTATAAGGATACTAAATAGTTAAATTCTATATACTAGACGTAGGAACAGATTAAGAAAACGAAGTCTAAAGTATATACGGAAGTAATATTATAATTTCAGACTTATTTAAAGAAACTATTAAAATAATAAATCCTAATATAAAAGGAATTATAACTCCTTAACTACCACCGGCTAATAATACTAAAGTATAATAGCGCTTCCTAGACCTTAAAGCCTTAGTTACTTATATAAAACAAACTATTAGAAACTAATAAAATACTATTAATATACTTAATAGATAACTTAATACTTAATAGTAATAACAAGGGTAACTACCTACAGCTTAGGGCTAGCAGGGAGGTCCCCGTAAGAAGGAACCAGGTAAAATCATTAAGCCACCTCTGCTAACACTATTTAACGGGGACCTATAAAAAATCGAGGGATTTTTTATAGATATAAAGTCCTATTTTAAGTATTTCTTAACTACTATGGCCCCGCTGGAACGATAAGTTAGCATCGTAGGAAGCCGACTTATTAAAGGACCTAAGAATTAGTTTAAACTATACCTTTAAGACTTTAAGTAATATAACTAAGCTAAAAAAAAGGCTACTACTAATACACTCTTTAATAAATATAAAGAATTTAAAGACTAACTTAAGGCGCTATTTAGCTAGATTAATAAAAAGAAGGAAGTAGAAAATATACTACTAAAACTTTAATAATAAGGTATATATATTAAATATACTACTAAGTTTATTTAAATTTATACTAAAATAGACCTTAAAGATATAATTAAGAAGATATTATATTACTAAAAATTAAAATCAGAAGTAAAAGATAAACTAGTATAAGATAATCTTCCGGCTATATTTAAAGCACTTTCCAAAAAGGCTAGTTATATTAATAACTAATAATTTAAACAATAGAAAGAAAAGTAAGCTAAAAAAGGAAAAAACAATAAGGTATACCGCTGCCTTTAATATTATATTAATTAAAGTAAAAAACATAACTTAGCTTTATTAAATAATAGAAAACTAGGACTAATAGATCTAAATATTATTAATACCTATAAGTTTATAAGTAAATATAACTACTATAGTAAGATAGGCTATAAGGAAAAAAACTGCTGGAGTAAATATAGGAAACCTAATAATTCTAGAAAATCTACTTATAAGAATAAAAAGTTTAATAAAGTTTAAATTAATATTATTAAAACTGTATTTTATAATTTACTTAGTTAAACCAGCTGCTATAATAATTAATATCTTATATATAAGGAAGAAAAGGAAATAATAAAGTAGTACCTTAAGGTACCTAAAAGAAAGTAGCTAAAATAAATTATAGTTAATACTATAACTTCTAAAGAAGCTAAATAACAACTAGAAGATAAAGTTAACAGCGACTAGCCTGCCCCTATAACTTAGGAAGAATATAAAGCTAATAAGGTATAAGCTAAAGCCCTTAATATTTTACTTACAGAAGAAGAGAAGGAATAAGAAAATACCTTTATCTATAGATAAGAAGAAAAGTATAGGAAAAATTAAGGATATACCGACCTTAATATCTTAGAACTATATGCAAACTGTAGATTATAAAAACCCCAGGGACTAAACTACCCCTATAAATAAGAACCCTTTAATTATAATTTAAAAAAAATAGAAATATATAACTTAAGTAAATTCTAATAAATACTTAAATAATATAGAATTACCTAATGATAAACGCTAAGTAATAATAGGTTAGTGGAGCGCACTAATATAAACCTCTACTACCTTATTATAACTAAAGATTAATTCTTTAAATAAGAAAAAATATAATTTATATATAATACCCTATTTATAAAAGACTATAAGTACTTAATAGTAAAATAATACTATAAAATACTATATAAAGAATATTAGAAATAAAAGATTTATAATTAATACCTCTAGATCTAATACAGAAACCTATATAATAAAAATTATATAAAAATTAATTTAAATTAGTACCTTAACTAAGGATATAAATAGTACCTTAACTATAAGGTTAAAGAATAGTATATATAAAAGGAAGCCTATCCTAAAACTAACCCCTTATAATATAAGGATAAATATTATAAAAAGTATTATAGAAAAAAAGAAAAGTATATTTAACTCTAATACTAGTTATATTATAACAGATTTAACTTTAAGACCTACGATAAAGGTAATGCCTATAAAAAGGATATTAAACGCTTTTATAAATACTATATTAACGAGATTAACATTAATAAGTGTTAATAGTACCGAAAACTCCGATAATAATAAAAATAACGATAGATAAGTAAAGATCTTAATATTATTACTAAAAATAACTATAATCCTAACTAGAAAAAGGATATATAAATTAATATAGTTAGAATAACTAAAATAAAGAAACTTAGAATTAATATATAACTTAATAATAGTACTATTACTATATATATTAACAGCGGAGTAGATTATAATTTAATCTTACTATAACTAATTAAGGAACTATAAATCCCTGTTTAATAAAAAAAACAAGCGCTATAAATTATAAGTATTATAGGAGTAGAAGTAAAGGAAGGATGTCACGACCCAGCTCTTATGGTCGCGACAAGGGGCCTACAGGGTAGGCACTCCCGGATTAACGTCGGGCCGCGCAGCCAATCAGGAAGCGGTCGACGGGAATCAACGTCGATTCCAATCGA